ATCTTTAAAAAAAGCCTTTACTGTGTCTGGGGATTTAGCTCAGTGGTTCCACTGCCTGCTTCACAAGTGCAAGGTCCCAAGTTCGAACCTCAGGACCAAAATCAAAAAACAAACAAAATATGCTATGTGAGGGCTGGGGATTTAGCTCAGCGGTTCAGTGACCTGCCTCGCAAGCGCAAGGACCCGAGTTCGATCCCCGGTACAAAACAAAAACAAAAACAAAACAAAACAAAAAAAGCCTTTACGAAGTGGTTTCTGAGAACGGTTGGGGAAAAGAATCTAAACTACATTCAGTACTAATTTATATCCATATTTATGAACCTGGACTTTGCCCCATGTTTTGGAACCATCTGTAGCGTCTTTATCATTTCTAGGGCAAAACCTATGGAAGCCTGATGATGCTATCAGCAGTCTTGTTTCATAGCTTTTAGGGAGCTACGTGTAAAGTGTGCATGTTTTTGTAATTTTGAGATTGAGAACGGAACTCTACATCCTGTTTTCCTTAGCACTATGCCCTCTGACCCCTCTTGGCTAGTCTAACAGGGAGTTCTGGTTTCTTTGCGACAGGAAAAGGAATAATACTAACCATCCGAGGAAAATGCGAAGTGAATTTTAGGCGTTTCTTTTCAGAGTAGGTGGAAGACAAGTTAATAATTTCGGGGTACATTCCAGTGAGTAGGCGTTCCTTTGGCATATAAAGATTTAACTTCATTTACCAGTAGAATTGTGCTGCTGTGTTGCTGCATGAGGGTCTAGGATTACCTGAGTTATACCTCCTGTAGTCATTCTTTCCTCCAAGGCCAAGGGCTCAAAAGAAAATATGTGAAGTAGACAGTAACTGAAAAATACTAATGCTAGATAATTCTCTTACGTTTGTCTTATTTTTCTTCCTTGTAAAGTAGTGTTATTGTTGTTTCAACACCACTGGGTTGTCGAAAGTACTGCTTAGGGGTAGGGGGAAAAATGAGAACCAAGACCTGTCATTAAAGGTACAAGATCCCACTGATGAATGTAACTGTACTGTATACCTAAAATGTACCAATAAACTCCATGATGATAAAAAAAAAGAAAGTGCTGCTTAACTGAATATGAGAGGCACCAGCCGCTGGTCCTCTGTTGCCTTTCTCTGTTTTGAAGTAATAATCGTACCAAGACCATGGCCTCTAAACTTAGACTTCCAGTATTTAAATTCCCTTCCTAATACTGTTTTTCTTCCCAAACTCAAATATGACCTCTCAGATTTTTTTCACTCCACTGTCAGTTTTCCAGGGACAGAAGAAAGAAAGAGAAGCACCAAAAGGAATGTTTCTTAGTCCCTAGACAAGATCTGTCCTAAGCCATTTACCGCTGTGGCAGCAGCCCTGAGTTAGACTCAAGCGGAGAGTGGAGAGTGAGGTCATGAAAGAGAAAGAGAGGAGGTGCATACACGGAGTGGCTGGGAGTCCACGTTAGTATTCCACTCTGGGAAAAGACATGCAGCACAGAAGACAGCCACAGACCACCCTTGATTTTTCCAGGCTCTGAGAGGAACAAAGACTCTAAGAGGCCATGCTCCAGTTCCTGCTAACTAAAGTTAGCCAATGAAATGAATTTGGAGTTGAAATACGCTTCCTCAGCCTTGAGAAAAAGTATGTGAAATCTAGAGATCAAAAGGATATATTCATCCTTCGTCCACCAACTGACAAAATATCATTTTTCCCGAACTTATGTCCGCAAAACCAATTTTGCTAATGAATGATTCTAGTTCATTAAAAGCTAAAACATGGAATATCAACTTGCCAAATGACCAGTTCATGGAAGGTTGACACACCAGTGTTTTTCGCCAGGTCTAAGACAGTTTGCTGCTACCAGATGCAGAGTTGAGGTGGAGTTAAGGCGAGGTGGAGAAGCTGTAGGAGGCTGGCTCTAGCCTTCTCGGCCTTGAGGGGAATGGGCCCATTGTGACTGGACCTTCCAAGTTTTCAAATGCAAGGTAAAATCTGGGTTTTTACATGAATTGTACTGACATTTGCATTTTGGCAGGTAATTAAAATAAAAAAATAAAAATAAAACTGTGCAAGTTAAATGCAGTCGATCTGAGGGCTCGATTGACCTGTATTCTCCCAGCTTGGTCTCTGCTGCAGGTCCTGGGCACTTATCTGCTAGACACTCATGGGTTCAGCTAGTGGAATGCAGCTCCAAGGTGCCATAGTAGATATACTGGTTTGTAATTTTGGTGAGGTATAAATTTGTATCCCAAATGCTCTAAGGTGAACTGGTGAAGGTGGTTCACTTAGCTAACGAATGTACTTTATTCCTTACCCTTTTTCGACATTTCAACATGGATTTTGGGTTTCTTTTACCAAATTTGAGTATATAGTACCTCTCTTGAAACAAACAGATCTTTTTCTTAAAGAAATAAAAGGCTTCAGAAGTTGGTAGAGAGGCTTTTAACACTGCAGATTGAAATGTAGACAAAGTGAAAAGAACTACTAAATGTTTAACTAGTAAATAGAGGTTTCAGAGGTTACACTAGAATTCAGTGAATGTAGCAGAAATTTTGAATGGAAACAATGAACATTTTTCAAAATGTGGTAGCAAGAATTAGGGAAAAGTTTAAGAAATATCTTGAAATTTTTCCTATCCTTTACTTCATTTTAAGAAGAAGTTTAAGAGGAAACACTATGCCTTTAGAGTATTGTAAATTATTAATTTTAACTTAAAATATTAATTAAGCTTTTGAGGGATGAGAGGTCACCCTTATGAATGTCAAGAGACTATATGATGCTTTATAAGTTATCTTAAATTCTTTTTACTGTTTTAGGCTCCTTCTACAGATTGCTGAGGGTAGTCATTGTCTACACTTCTTTTGCTGTTTCTTTCATATTTCTAGTACATTTTTTGGTTTTTGTTGGAGGTTCCTAATAAATTGAATGCTTTGAATTAAACATATCTTCTAGTTTTAAACATCTATGGTTTAAATATATATTCCTTTCTATCAAATCTAGATTGCGTGAGGGGAGGTGTCCCTTAGACTTTCAGGAATATAAAATATACTTTTTAAAGACCCAAACAAAGCAGTCCTTAATTTGAAATCTCTCTCTTTGTATGTCCTTATCTTCTCAAAATATTTAGTTGAGAATCTTATGACAGGAAGTTTCTTCTAGGGTTTTCGTATTGCCTTGGCTAGAAATGATATAGAATAAAAAGTCTTTGTGTTTCCCTTTGAATAAAAACTTTAAAAGTGGACAAAAAAACAAGCTTCAGATTTAAAGTAAAGCATTAGAATCATATTGTACTTACTTAGTTTCAGCTATAGGAAATGATCTGAAGATTTTTTTTCAAAGTGGGTGTGTATGGAGCAGGGTTGGTCTTCTGATCCTCAGGCCTGATTCTATCACTTGAATGAGATTTTGCTTATTGCCACATCCTGCTCCGTTTCTCCTTGCCTCTGTGGACTATTTTGTTGTATTCTTAGGGTACAGAGAAGTTCTAGGACAAGAGCTTGACTTCATTTTTCTGGATTCTTGTTTGCTGGAAAGGTTTTTCTTCTAGCAGGAGGAAAATTAAAAACAGGAATTGGCAGTCCAGACAGCACTTTATTTGTCAAATTGGAAAGCACTTTATTGGTGGAGAGTGAAATTTTATTCCTAATTATCATAGATTTTCTTTCTTATTCATCCTTTCTTTTGTAAAGCCTTCCTTTGAAAGCATCTGGATTTTCAAGTAAGAAATTGTGGGAAATTTAAAAAGAGAGGGATTTGGAGAACTTGATTATTTCCTAAGCTTTTTAGAAACATCTAAATGGTAAGGTCTATCCTAAAATAGTCAGTCGAAGAACATTTATAAGGTTGATCAAAAAAAGAGGAAATGTACACAGAAATTGTTTTTAAATTTAAATTTCAAAATGTTTCCCAAGCACATAAATGTATTCTTTCATACATTCATTGCCTATTGCTCCCTCACACTCTACCCTTAGTTATTTTTAAAATACTATTTCTACATTATCTATTTAAAAATGTTTAAATTAATTAATTAATTAATTTGGTATGGGGGATTGAACTCAGGACCTTGCACTTGAGAGGCAGGTGAGGTGCCACTGAGCTACATCCCTGGCTCCCAACATCATCTGCAATATTAAAAATTGAAGTACATTTCTTCTGCATCTGTTTTTGTCCATGAGGTAATATGTTTACTGTTTTATTAGGGACTTCTTACTCATTCATTCAACAAATACTTTAAAGCCCCAATTACATGCAATGTGCACATATATTTTTTTCAAGAGAAAATAAATCCATTCATACGCATAAATGTTACTTTAAAAATGTTCGGATATTATACAAGAATGAACTGAGATTATTTTGGCGGGTTTCTATGATTTATTGATAAAGACCCTTTCCTTTGGTAAAATAGCTGAAATATCAATCAGTTGCTTCAGTCCGTGTAACACTCTAACATCAACTCACTTCTGCTGTCTATAATGAGATCACGAGTCCCTTTTATATAAAACCTATCTTTTTTATTTCATTTAATTTTACTTTCTGTCTAGTGTAACTTTTTGGAGTAAGAAGTGTTATCAAAATACATTTGATTTGAGATCTATAAAAATAGAAATATCCACTCTTAGAAAAAATTAGCTTTTGTTTGACTTCTTATCATTATTTGATTTTACAACTTTCTCCTCTTTAAAGAAGATGGCACGATCTCTCCTTTCATTCTCCAGACAAGACTCTATAATAAAATTAATGACTTAATGCACTCTAACTGCAGTCATTTATTTATAATATCTTAAGAGATATTATAAAATGTCTCTTCAGAAAACTGAATTTTCTCTAGAGTAAAATACTAAGTATAAAGTGTTGGCCTCAAATTAGAAAAGTTGAATGTTAGTTTGAATAGTAATTTTTTCTTTTAAATATATTCAGAATAACTATTATTTTTGTTTTAGGATAATTTTATTCTTTAAATGGTGCTTTAAAATATCCAATAAAAATAATTTTTCAATATTCTTTTGCTCTTAGGTAATTTAGACTCTTGGGATCTTCTCATTTGCCTGCCTTCAAGGAAAACTGATGGAAAACCCTGTGCATCCAAGGCAGATATGTGTCAGCTAGGTTTACATCAAAAGGTAAATAGCCTAAAAGTGTTCACAGATTTTATGAACTTTATGGGTATTAATAGTGGTATTTCATAGCTCATAATGCTTTTTAAAAGTCTTGAAAAATTAGAGCCGTTAATTACATCTTCAGACAAAGTTGCAACTGGCCATGTGTGCTAGTCAGCTTTGCATTGATGTGATAACATATCCCCCAAAATCAACTTATTTATTTTTGGCTTGGAGTCTCATAGGTTTTGACCCATGGTTGCTTGACCTCGCTGGCTTTGAGTGTATGGAGAGGCAGTATGCTATGGCCAAGACCATGTGGTAGAGGAGACTGCTTACTTCATAGTGGCCAGGAAGTTGAGAGAGAGGAAGAACTGAAGTCTCAAAGTCACCTTCAAGGGCATACTCCCAATGACCTAACTTCCTCCACATAAGTTCTACTTCCTAAAGATTGTGCCATTTCTCCAGTTTGTAATAGCTAAAATTTGGAAACAACCCAATTGCCCATCAACGGGAGAATGGATAAAGAAGATGTGACTTTGCTTTTTATAAAATGGAGTACTACTCATCCATAAAGAATGAGAAACTAGAGACATTTATAGCTAAGTGGATGCACATTGAGGACATACTCTTAGGTGAAATTCATAGGACACATGTGTAAATACTGAATAGTTGCTCTGATGTGATAAACTAAAAGTGTAAGTAAGGGTCAAACGTATAATTGATATTTTGTAGTAGAAAGAAAAGGTCTAAAAGTGTTGGGCAAATGGGAGGGGTAGCGGAAAGGTAAAAGGGGAAGATAGAATAAGAGAAAAGGAAAAAATTGAAACCGAGTCTTTGTAAATAGGGAAGGGTGGAGTGGGGGGAGGCTAGGGAAATGGGGAAAAAATAAGAACCAAGACCTGTCATGTAATGGTACAAGATCCCAATGATGAATGTAACTGTATTGTATATCTAAAATGTACCAAAAATATATTTTAAAAAAAGATTGTGCCATTTTCCAATAGAGCCAAAGGCAGGTAACTAATTGTTTAGCCTATTAGCCTTTAGGAGACATAATGCAAACCCTAACACCATATACTTTGCCATTAAAAAAAAAGAGTCACCATGTTTTGTGTGGCAAAATCTCTCTCAGTTCCAGGAGCTGTCAAATAGAGTTTTTACTCAGTAATACTCAAACTGGATCTGGAATTCTGTAGCCTATGAAGTAGTGGTTACCCTGGCCACTTGTTTATTCAAAGCAGTCATCGCTAACTTTTTCAAACTTAACTTAAATGACAAGAAGAAGGCATACAACTTCTTACTAAGTTTTAAAACTTGACACTCAATATTTTCTGTCTAGATTGTATGAACTTTTGTCAATGCTTTTAGAAAAGTTAGCTACACATTCTGCATTGTCTCTAAGAATGCTAAGAATTTTCAGAGAGCTGCTGCTTATGACAAGTCTGTGAAAAAGTGCCACACCAAGGTATTCTGAGTTCTTAAATGGACTTGTAGTAGCCTACTGTAATTACTTGGTGTTTATTCAAAGATGGTGTAGATACTTCCCTTCTTTTTCTGTTTATTCCCCTGATCTTTCAGTCAGGCACAGTTATTTGGATGTCTGTATGAATCTTCAGCCATTCTCTTTGTTTTTATGATTTTTTTTCTATACTGAGGCTTTCTGTTAGTTACTTTTCTCTCACTGCTGAGGCAAAATACGTGGCACCTCAAGTTAAAGGTGAAAGATTTATTTAGCTTACAGTTTGTAGAAGTTTCAGTCCATAGTCGGCTGGCTCTAAGGCAGGGTGCCACATGATAGAGGGGCAACCAGTCATGGCCAAGGAACACAGTAAAGCAACAAGAAACCTTAACAGCATCTTTCGGCCCCTTTTATCTTATTCAGACTATTTAGGTCATGCAGCACTCATGCCCTTAATCCCAGTGGCCTCGGGCCTAGCCCCACATCAGCCAATCACGCACTCTGGATTCAGCCTCCTCTGAGAAAGCATGAGGCTTTGCAGGGTGAGTGGTGGAGGGATCTACGCACAAGCCACATTTGGCTCAAACACAAGACCTCCTACATGCTAGGAAGTTCCTGTACCACTGAGCTATAACACCTCATCTGTTTTCTTCAAAGCAATTTTTTTCTTGTCATTCTTTAAATGCCTGTGTTCTCTAACATTGTTTCCCAAATTTTAATTACCATTTACATTTGATGATTCCAAATCTACAGGTAACATTCTGAGCACTTTTCAGGCTTCTGGCTTGGATTATGCCTGAGCTCCTCCACTCGGATGGTCTCAAACTCATCCCACTCCTTATTGGCTCATTATTTTCCCCCATAAATTTGATTGTGCATTTGTGTTAGAAGTTGCCTTAGAAGTCTGTTGGTCAGAAACATGATCAACCACTCTGTCATCTAAGATCAAGGTCTAACCTTCACCCCTCAGCCTTTCCTCTGCTTTGTCATCTACCTTCTTTCAACAGCCAGTTCGAAGATCTTTAACCCCTTAATACTCCACAGATCTGTTCTCTACATTGCATACTTATTTATTCTGGTAAGATCACCAGCACTTTACCAGTGTTATTGCTAAATCCTCTTCACTGGTTTTTCTGAATCAAATATTTCACCCCTGAAGTTCAGCCTGTCTACAGTTATTTGAAGAAAAGTATAAACTGATTAACTAACCTTATTATTCTTATGCTTAAAATATTGAATACCTTCTCATCAATCATAAGAAAAAGTCTACACTGTGATCTCTATGTGAGCCTTCAAGCAGGAGGCATACCATACTCAAAAGGCATTTTGAAGAGGGCAAAATTGAAGACAAACTAACAAAGGAACTATATAAAATGTTTTGGCAGAGTAAAACAAAAACCAAACCAAACCAAACCAAAACAACAACAAGAACCCAGTGAGTGGCCAGGGATTTAGCTCAGTGGTTCCGCCAACTGCCTCGAAAGTACAAGGTCCCAAGTTTGATCCCTGGTACAAAAAACAAAAACAAACAAACAAACAAAAAACCCAGTGAGGCATTCAGGGAACTAACAGCTCCTAAAATTCTCACCAGCTCTTGTCTGAAGAGAGGTATGTAGAAGAAATCATGTAGTCAGAACCTGACAAGAGATACAGCCAAGAAAGAGGTGTCACTAAAACGTCACTATAGACCAGGGGAGAGCAGCCTTTGCCAAATCACAGGCCTGGAGAGAGGGATCCCAGAGATAAGAACCAAATGTCTCCTACCCACCCAGGTCTTGCCCAGGCCTCTCAATAGTCCAAGGCCATTGCTAGTCAAGGGGCAAAATTGTCTTTCTGCCCATAGAAGTCTTCCTCTCAGGGAAGAAAATGGTGACTATTTAGCACAGAAAGCTTCTGAAGATTTTCTGTGAATGGCTCTCTCCTCGAAGTACTCTTTTCTTATCTCTTAACTTGAGGGTAACACCATAAGTGATGCTACACTGATTATTGTTTCTTAAAAACCTTTGTTTTTTTCTGTTGCATACATTTATTCTAACTAATTTTTTCTGCCTAAAATACCCTTTCTCTCTACCTCAGGGATTTTCAGCTCTAACCAATTGTCTCTGTCCGTGTCATATTTGGCAATATGCCGAAATGTGCTTGGTTTTGTCACACTAGGAAGGGAGGTGTGTTACTGGCATCTATGGGCCAGAGCCAAGCATGCTGGTCAATATTGCATAATGCACACAACAAAGAATTGTGAAGCCCAGTAAATTAATAGTGTAAAGGCTGAAAAGCCCTAATGTAGTCCCTTGGCCTGAAGTCAACCCTGCTGGTTTGCTAGGCTCTACACTGCTAATCACTTACTGCAGGCAGGGTTTCCTTGCTTTTCCCTTCCTGAATACTCTCCTAATTCCTCATGCAAATTTCTCATTTTGTATGCACTTACTGTTAACTCTATTTCTTGTCATCTATAAATTCAAGCCAGCTTTGCCCAGCTAATGAGGACAAATACTATTATATTGATGCTAGTATCGACATTTATTGGGTAATGTAGATCTCCCTCAGAAGCTTCCCCCTCTGTTTCCCTGGGTCTAGAAGATATCGCTCATGTTCTTGGAAATAGTGTTTCATAGTCTTCCTGCAGGCTCCCCTTGTAGCTCACTACACCAGTTGCCTAAGGAATACTCTGTGGCTGCTCTGATATTCCTGAGAAAGGTGCATTCCCTGCCTTGGGTGTCACCTACAGCTACAAAATTCTTCAGGTGCTCAAAGTCTTTGCAATCCATCAGTTCTGTGTGAACCGGATATAGATGTATAACAGAGAGAATGTGCCTTTCTCCAGTCTAGTTCTTCACTTTGTTTCCTGGGTTTCAAAACAGATGATTTACAACTTGGGCAGTGCAAAGTCAACATGCAAATGTGCTTTTTGTGCCTCTTTCATCCTTCTCTGCCTAGAATTTATACTATTAACTCTTGCACCACGAATCAGTACCTCATGATTTTGGTTACCTTATTTACGCTCTGTAGCTACAGTATTTTTCCCCAAATAAGAAGACAGTAGACTCTGGACAGTCTCCAAGACATTTGCTAGCTTAAATTTGCATGGGAGTCACAAGAGACCAGCAGAATCTGTGATGAGGAGAAACAGCAAAACAGCCAGTGACAGCAATAGACCAGGTGAGGAGAGTATGTGTCAAGTAAGCAAAAAGAGGAACTCTAAAGCACAATCAATTACGCTGAGATCTCTTGTTCAAATTTTGAAATAGTTTAAGATTTGCATCAAAATTACTGCAACATTTCCCCATACTCGGAGTTTACCATAAAGGTAACATTTTACATAACCATGGTACATTATGCAAACTAAGAAATTAACATTGGTATCTATTATTGACTAAATTTTAAAATTCAGGCTGTTTTTCTGATCTAGGATCCGTTGCTTTCATGTCCAGTTTTAATTTCTCTCCTATCTCTCCCAAACTCTTGACAGTTCTTAATCCTTTTCTTTCGTGACCCTGGAAATTTTGAAGAATAATGGTTAAGTATTTTGTAGAATTACCCCAATTTTGACTTATCTGATATC